AAATTAGTTTGTTAATCCTGTCATGTTCTGCGTCAGAGCAGCAGAGCAGGGATAGAGGCGATGCCACAGCCTGTGCCATTTTCAACACCTACTTGAGCTAAACGTGTTAATTTGCTGAGTACTTCCTGCTCTTAATGCAATTACTAAAGCAATACAATTAGCACAACTGGATGTGAGCGTGCATTTAAAAAATTCAGTATGTAACTGCTGTAACCTAGATGCTGCTGCTAGTAATGCCACACAAAATAACGTTTGTATATGTGGCCTGTAAAAACAATGCCTTGAACTTAATGTAAATTTGGGGTAAATGCACATTTTTTTTATTTGCCGTCCAAGCATGGCACAATTTCGCTCATATGTGAAGCACATTTGCAGTTCTTGAATGTCTCCCATATAAGCCACTGAGTTTAAAACCTGCTGGACGGTTATTAATATAGGAATGTAGAAATAAATATTTACCTGTCCCTTACGGAATCCTTCAAATCCGTCGCTGACAGCGAACATTTTGTGTCCCTCGGAGATGCCCACTCTGACAGCAGAGCGCACGGCGGCGTTCATGCCGGCGGCAGGGGCGCCCACGTTCAACACAGCCACATTAAAATCGCTCTGAATGGGGGATGAAGACATAACATGTCAATAATTTACATTAAAATCACTTCTCATTATCCAGCAAACCTTCAGCTATATTACTCACTTATGTTCGGTTGTCTATAATAAATACAGCAAGCGTCCTCGTGGATTACTGTAAATCCTGCTGGATATATGCGGCCTGGCATGTACAGCACATTAAAAATGGCCATATTTATTTATATAACTAGCAGGTATGTCTGTATATTTGAGGCCTGGTATTTCTTGATCATCATCATGTTTTTGTGTTGACCACTCAATGCCTATTAAGAGTTGAACAATGTTTCCAACCAGCTGTGGCTGGTTCATCAATCTGTTTTCCATTCCCATCGGTGCAGGGTAATGTGGTCTTTCGTTTACTCGACACACAGCCCAGAGCATCATAGAATGATTATTGACTAAACACTTCTGGACAAGCGGCTGTTTGACTTTGGTGACTGTGATGCAGCAGGTGTGCCATTCAAGACTCTTGTTTTCTGGTCTAAACAAGGCTTTTAGAAAAGCAGCATACTATGCATCAGTGGTTCGCAAACTTGGGGGCCGGGACTCATTGGGGGCCTCAGCAAGCTGCCCAAAGGGGGCCCAAAGATAGCTTAGAATTATTTAAAATAGGACAAATCTACTTTAAAATAAGCTTAAATAGCTAATAATAATAATATGTTAGCTGTAATTATTTGAGAATCAGGGTTCTCATGGTCTTGGAAACACTGGATATAGGAGAATTTTATAAACCTGTAAAATAAAGTAAAATAAAATAAAATATTTAATAGGGAGAGATTTCTATTTGCATGATCATGAATGACTAGTCATGTAAATTCATTGGAAACTGTGAGTTATAGAACTGATAAAGTCATGGAAATAAGAAAATCTTAAAAAGTTTTAAGAAATAATTATAAAAAAATAATAAATAATAATAAAAACGCTCAATACAAATATTTTTTTTCCAATTTTGTCAAGCTCTAAAATATATTATAGGGTAGAAATCGCTGGGAAACTGCTATGTGCAAAACATAATCATGAATGATTAGTCATGTAAATTCATAAAAATAATTCATGGTAATAAAAAGTGTAAACCCTGAAAAACAATTAGTTATTGAAGCTTCAGGAATGCAGTTTAATCATTTATAATTATCTAATTTAATTATTCTATATTCTACATAGATGACTGAGAGAATCTAAGCTGCAGAAGCTGTTTGTATTCACCACAAAAACACTATTGTATTGACATCGCAAACATACATTTTTTACCACATGGCCTGTGTTCACACGTCAATGTCTGTTATTTAGCAACTGATGTGAAGTGGTGTGGAGGGTAACCAATCATAAAAGAGGTCATTTGCATACATATGCATTAAATGTTCAATAGTAAAAACAGCCTGTTGGTGGATAATTGTTTACTAGAAACTTATAGTGTTGCTTCCTGGTGTTAGTTATGAAGCTTTAAAGCAAGCTAACACAACTAAAGGCCCTTTAAGGATTCTTTGACATTTAGATGATAATAATAATAGCTAGAGAATAGAGCTAAAACTAACTATCCACAAGCAGAAATATTCCCACAGGATGTATGGCAGGACTAATTAATCTTGGTTTCCTCTGGAAGCATCTGCTAGCGGTGGAATTCTGTCTTGCAGCATGCAGTAAGGGCTTGTGAATAGCTAAGTCTGGTCCAACAGTTGATGTCAGTCAATTGAGGTGTTTAGTGAAAGATCACCAGGGTAAAACAAACACAGCATCCCTCTCAGGATCTGACACTCACGTGTGGAAGCTC